GGCCTTGAGCCCCTGGAGCGCACAAAGCTATTTGCGGGATCGGGCACAAGTGAAATCGGACACCCAAGGGCTTACGTTGTGCTCCTCAGAAAATTAGTTGTAGTTGTTCTGGGCGCCTGGTAGAAGTAGGCGTCTGTTGGAAAAGAAACTTTTGTCAGCTCTCCGTAGGAGCTGTTGGAGAACATTGAGAAATACTGTGCAGCACATCTGAAAAATTGATAAGGAAAAAATGGTGTTTTCTTTTTACTTGAGATCTGCTTAGGCCTTGAGATCTGCTGGTAGCCTGTTCACCCGCAGAGCCCCACTTAGGGAGGGGTGCCTGTTGCCCGTGCAGAGGGTGCCCGGCTGTGAGGGAATGAGCGCCTGCTGGGGTCCAGCGGTAGCTGATAATGCAGGTGAGACAGGGGCAAGGTCAGCACCCGGGCGTAGTCTGAAGGCCACGGAGCTGTATGGGCTTCTCTGTGTCTGTATTGTGGCCGTCACTTATGGAATGAGCAGTGGTCACGCTTGAATTACAGAAGAGCAGGAGTTGTAGCTGTTTGCCTGATGTGCACTCCAATTGTCTGCTTGGTTTTACTCCTGATCTTCCATGGTGCTGCTTTTGTAACTTCAGTGCATTAATCTGGAGATAGCAGTGGCCATGTGGAATCTCGTGATGACCTTTTCTGTGGAAATGTATTTTCCACTAACAAGTCGTCCTAAAGAAAATCCAGCAGTTTCTGAGTTGGAGAGGGAGGGAAGAAGCTTTGCTCTTCAGAGATTCAGTGTTTCAAGCAGTTATTATTGGAGTTTGTGTTTTTTACTGTGAAACTATGTTGCACTGGATAATATTAGGATTTTTAAAAAACCACTTTTTTATATACTGAAAGAGTAGATGTACATTTCGTTTGTGCAAGGGTTATTTAGCTGTAACCTACTGAGTAACGTATTCACACTGAGGAGAGAAAACGTGGTGCCTCTTACAAAAAGAGAATTTCTGTCATCCATAGGAAAACACTCAATACTGTACACGTGCTGCCTCTTCATCCTTGTGTGCTAATTGAAGGCAGATTCTGCCTCTTAGCCTTCAAAGTACCATGAAATGTACAAGCTGTAGGTATGGCTGTCTTGGCAGAGGGAAGAAAGATGAGCTAAGGGACCTCTTTTACCTCTGATGTCTTCTGTGTTGTATTTTTTTATTATTCAGGTTGTTTTAGGATGTTTACAAGCGTAAAGAAATGACCCTGTTTATTAAAGGAATTCCTTAATCTGAAACTATTTAAGAGGGTCTGGTGCTGCCTGATAAAGCCAGTCTTGTTTCATTTGATTATAGAGTAATATTTTTTTTTTTGTTTACTGTTCTAGCTGCTCTTTATTACCTACTACCTGGAATCACTGGTATGAATAAAATTAATCTGAACATGGAACAGTGTTTTACAATAGCTGTAAAATAAAAATGCATTATTTGTGTATTCTTTGGTGTTTTTATGTAGTACCTGTGTGCCTCAGTAGTTGTGTAGTGTCTCAAGAGTTGCAAAATTAGCTACCAGTGGAGGTCAAAGGCAGAGTAAATAGCATTTCTATTTCTTGAGGAGTTTAATTCCCCTCTCAATAGTCATCATGCACACTTGTGCAAATGGAAATCTATTTAAAAGGTGATAACCTTTTTCAGTGATTATTTACCTTGACATCATTGACTTGCTAATACAAGACTGGAATAGACATCTGCCATCAATGGTGCTTACTTCTTCTAATAAGCAACTCTTGATCTCTGTCTTAAAGTGACAGCTGGGCAGCCTACATTTATTTAGTGAAGGCTTAGGGTGGCTTTATATTGAACAGTTTTAGGAAGAGGCTGTTCCAGAAGCTTGTCCTGGTTAGAAATTTTTCTGATTTCTGGTGTAAACTAACTTGCAACTGGTTTTTGCTCTCCTGTTCTTATGCCTTTTGATTTTAATGGCCTCTCAGTTATGTAACCATAGAGATTGAAGGTATCTGTTTTAAACTTTTATTTTCTTAAGCTGAGTAGTTCAGGTACTTCTACTGGCAAAATAGGCTTTCTGTTTTTTTGGAAGCAGTTCATTTTTGTTGTCTATAGGTCAGATGGTTTTAAATGTAAGCAGTGTTCCAGTCTTCACTTGTTGCATTTGCTTCTCTTCCTCTGTTGGAAGTACCTTCTTTAGTAAACCCTTCTTAACTACCCCGTGTGAAAGGCTGGCTGCATGCTTTGGACCTCGGTTGTGCCTCTCCCGGTGCAATATTCTGACTTTCTTTGTGCTCATGATCACTTTCACCTTGGTGTCACAGAACATGGAGTACGACTCTTGTAGGCAGTACTCGTTAGTTGGAAAAAAATAAATAGGATCAGTTCCGAGACCAAACGTACTGGCCTTTGCTTCAGTGTCCTGACTTTGGTGGCTCTCTGCTTTATTTTTGTTCATCAATTAGTGGGACCGTAGTTCACACTTCTGAGCAAGACTTGTGCAAGAACATTCTTTTAAGTTTAATTGAAGTCCTTGTCTGGCTGGTTACAAACAAGTGCTCTCCAAAGGAAGTTCGTGGGTAGGAAGCTTCAGTTAATTTTTGAATAAATCTTAGATAAACGCTAATTATAAAATGACCTCAGAAACTTGAGAAAGAACAGACAGACCTGCTTTTAGCACTCCAGGTGGATTCATTGCTAGTCGTGTGTTTTAATTGATGGCACAAGTCTTATCGAGTAGGAAATTACTCACTGTAGGGCTTTAGTTACAGTGCCTAATCAGAAAGCCCCATACTTTCCATGTAATATGCTGCTGCTTTGCTGATGCTAATGCCCTTTAAGACGTTATTCCTGTTACATTTCTGGGGGTGTGTGGCAGCTAAGAATTGGACCTTTTGGTTTTGCTGGAGTCAGTCTTTTACTAGTGAATAATTACACAACAGATTAAAAACCGTCACTTTCTAGAAACTCCTTCTATGCCATCTGTTGTCCTGTTCAGCACATACTTCTTCAGGCAGTAGCCTAATGGAACCGTATACGGGGTTGGCTGGGCTGGTGTTTAGTAATCTGCTTTGCAGAATTAGGGCTGTCACTCCCATGGACTAGCCTGTGTGCGTGACAGGTGAGGGAATGGAGAGCTTTGGGCTTTTTGACACTGAAATAACAAAATGTAGGAAAAACCTGTGAGGTTATGAGGGGTGCCATGCTCTGTAAAGAGAAATTCTGGTAAAATGTGATACTTAAAACAAGATGTTGCCTGAAACCTATTAATCCTGCCTGTTAGGGAGTAGGATACGTGGTCACAAAGTTATTTCATCTTTTGTAGGCACTTAAAAACATGCAGTGGTGGCTTTGCAAACTGAAACCTTCCATCAACAGGTCAGGTATGGCATTGGCAGTAGCTGTGGAGTTCTGCCTGAAATGCCAGTTGTTCCACAGCCTTCATCCATGACATCTTGCTATAACGTTGTTTTTACAGGGTTGGACCATGCCCGATGAAAACAGTCCCTTTACCTTTGATGGGCATGAACTAATTGACAAAGAATCCACAACAAAGCTGAAGTATTTTCCAACTGATTTGGAATTTCTTTAGAGTTTGCAGTTATTCTGTGAACTGATGGCTGAGACATTGCAAACTACTGACGAACACCCCTGGAGCTGCGTTTTCATGATTTGACATTGGAGCAGGGCACAAAGAGTACCAGTTCTGCTGGAGCTGGAGAGCAAAGCTTATGGCTTTACCCATTGCCTTCTTAACTGCCCACTGGGTAGAACAGCCAGAAGGGAGCAAGTAGGCTTCCCTGGGGGAACAGGCTTTTGTTCCATGGCATCAGGGACTGCTAGCTACTTTTCAAAGGATAAAAGTGCTGTGCTTCCTCCTGTGACCCCTGCCCCCCAGCCAGGAAAAAAAGGAGGGTTTCAATGTTGCAAAAAGAATTTGCCTTTTTACTTTTGTGTCAAGGCTTCTGAGGCTTTGACCGTTGTTCCCAGATGTGTCTAGAAGTGTATGAATGCCGTATCATTAATGATGGAGAGCACCATCGTGCCACCAGTATTACTACAGCTACTTTGCAGCTGTCCTGTTTCTTTAAGGGAATGCTGTTGAGGTTGAAAAAACCCCAAACAACAGAAAAACCCCAGCAAACCTCTGCCTGCAGAGATTTTCCTCTTTGAATTTGTAAAGCTTTTTCAAAAGCTTTTCTAAAGGCTTGTTTGTCTCAAGGAGTGCCGCACTCCTGCGGAAACTAGGGGTGCACATCTTGGTGATTTTTAGCTCTAGTATAAAGTAGGTACTGCAGGAGGGTCATGTAGCTCTGCTTACAGAGAAACATGCAATGCAGATGAGCTATAGCAGATTACTTTAAGTGAAGAAGATTAGAGTCGGGAAAAGAGCTGCTTTTGCTGGTTGGTTTGTTCTTTTTCTGCGTGTGTCAGCATTCTGTGAATACAAACCTTTATATGCTGTTAATTCCTTCCTTCATGTTTGTTTGGATCTTTCACAAAGCAGCACAGAAGAAAAAGGCAAGAATGGGCAGATAACCTGGAATGTGTGAGGTTGTTTGAGGGGTTTTTTTAGGAGTGTTTTTCCTTTTTAGTTTAGGCTTATCTTGTGAAGTGGATTAGTTGAGAATATTCTAAGTAACTTCTCTCTGGCCTACTTAGTTTCATTCATTGATTAATTAAAAAAAAAAGAAGTAGCTGCATGGATAGCAGAAGATACAAAAAGCCTAGCCTTCTGTGAAGTTCAATTATTTTAGCAGTCTACAGTGGAGGTTCTCTGGTGCCTAGGAGTGCAGGTAAGCCTCACTGCTGTGTTTCTTGGTGCAGGCACTGACAACAAATCCTTTCTCTGTCCAGTCTAGTTCCACGAAATGTGTGAAATATATCACTTCGAGGACTGCACACAGTGTCAAACTGGACTGGAAATGACTCGCAAATTTAGTAGTTGGTAGGGGACTTGTCAGCAGAGATATGTGCAGCAAGATCTATTTACCTTGTTTGTTGACAAATTCTAGCTAAATTATTTCTCAATCTTTTTCTCTCCTTATAATGACAGTAAATATAATTGACAGCTTAACTTGATGTTTTACTTGAGAATCAGACTCACAGGAAGAAGAGATGCATATTAATCTTCGTGGTTTGGGATTTTGAAAAAACTTCAAGAGCTGATCACTGCTGCTGAAGTGGTTAAAATCTGACTAGGGCCAGCAGACTGCCAGTCAGCAGTGGCCTCTTTCCATGGCCAACTCAGCAGGAGACATACCTCTGCATCTTTAGCCTTGTTTTCTAGGGGCACACCTTTGTCCTGTATATATGCACTTGTTTTCCTTTTCCTGCATCTCTCCCTAAGTTTGATCTGTTGGTAGTTCTCAGTCAAACTTGACAGACTACTGGTGGAGGTCCCAAAGACTAGCATTTTCATTAAGTTTTTTTAAAATTGGTGACTGAGAAACCTGTGAAAGCTTACCGCAGCTCATACTGAGGTGAAGAAACATACTAATAGAAATACATGTAGGGTTAGACATCAGCGAAATGTGTGGGAGCCTGTCCTCACAAATATCACAGCCCAAGAAAGCTTCAGTAGGAGCTTGTTATTAACATGTGACACAAGACTCTGGCGAACTGAACTTCAATAGTCTTAGAGCTGACAGAAGTGCTTCTGGGGGTTGCTGTACAGAATTAAATAGATCTCAGTAGCTGAGAGAGAGCTGCTACCTTTCCTGGTTTTGTAGCTTTTGCTGTGGGTTAACAGCCCCAAGCAAAACAGCAAAGTGAAAGCAATTTTGTGCCTGATGCTTAAAAGAGCGTAGGGAAGGCATTGCACATTTGGCTGCTTATGTTCCACTGGGATGTCTTGGGTTGCGTGATGCAACCAAGATGCAGGTTTAAGACAACGAGAATTCAAAAGCAAGGCAACAAGTGATAGTGCGACCTTTGAATTGGTAAGGCTTCCTCTCCTGCATCTCTTTGGTTAGTAACACATTTAAGGTTTATCATGGAAAGTGATAGGTAGCTTTTTTTTATTTCCCCCCTTCAGAAACCACAAGATTTAAATTTTGTTTTTTATCATTGGAAAATTTACAGACTTAATTATTTTGTGCAACCAGTTCAAGGCAAGATTGGTATAGTATGTATCTTCTAAGCCTATTACCAACACTGAAAATTTTTGTGTAGGAAAGCACAAAAATAGAACATAAGTAAGTTTGGTCCCAACTGGCAAGTATTGATTGCTTGTATAAATTATTATTGACTTTGGAGGTTAGCAATGTTTTTGCTTAAATTACACTGCATCAGAGTTTATATATGTACATATCTGGAATTATCCTTACAAATTAATAGTAGCCTTAGTCGTTTTTTTCCCCCTGTGCCTTTCACTTCATCTCCCATTTCTTTTAATGGTGCTAGTTCAGAGAGAGACATGAATCTTCCTGAAAGTTTAGCAACTGTTATCCTACTTTTCTGTAGGAAGTACAATCCTTTGCTAACAAGCAGAGAGCTTATCATTAGGTTTTTATGAAAGTAAGCTTTTTTCTTTTTTTTTTCTTCCCATTTTCCGTGGTTTTAAAAGTAAAATGACATAACCCTTGGGACAGAGAAGACAATCTTCTGAATATAGACTGCTGTAATACTACCTTACTAAGCCTGAAGATGGCCTAGAGCAGGGAAGAGCTTTCTGTTCTAAAAGCAGTAGGATATTAATTCTGAAGCATCTGTTACATTAACGTTGTTCCCACGTGAATGGTTCATAAGGAAAAGCTTCATCTCAATTGTAAAATATAAACTAATTAAAAGTATGACTATTTGATTTGAGTAGCTTATTTTAGGTTGCGATTTTTTAAATTGATTTAAGCCAATTTATGGTATTCTGCGTCAAGTCACCCTATAGACTTCTGCTCTTAGTTTTATTTTTCTTTAATTTTGACTTAATGCAATGATTCTGCTTCTAATTAAAAGTGATATCTTAAAAACCAAATCTGTCTAAACTGTACTTCATGTGCAGTTTGCAAACCCATTAGTCCTCCTGTGAGTTTTATATTGGAAGGCTTGCTGTTAAGGCTGCAGAGGCTGTTTAAAGAATAATCGAAGAATGGAAGAAGAACAAGGAAAGAAAAGGGATGTGTGCGAAGGAATTATGAAACTACAGAGGAATTTGCTGTAGTGTTGTAGTCTTACAAACATGTGGCTCTATCATGTAACTCTGCTGTTGTGGAGACACAGCAAATCCGAGCTATGCAGTGACCTCTGAAGAAATGCAGAGCGTCTGGATAGCTGGTATTTACCAGCATAAAGGAAAATAAAATTGTATTAGGGTTCAGCAATGTGTTTGATTTACAGGTTTCTTCAGTGGGTAAAATCCAAGGCTAGATGGGTGTCTGGGGTAGTCTGGCACAGCAGTTCTTGTGGCGGGTGCTGTGAGGTCCTAGGTTAGTGAGCAGTTCTAACAGGACCCATCTGTCTTCTCTGTATAAAAGTGGGGAACAGGGATGCTTGTACAGATGGTAGAATGTGGATTATAGTTCAACTCTTTCTAGTGAGATTACACAATACAGACTTCACGTTATTTTTATCTCTTTAAAATTGGATTTTAAAAAATCTTGTTTATGCTGTATGCAGTAGTTTAGAGGGCTCTCACATTGATGTTTGTTTTCTTTATCTGCAGCCTAATGATAAAAATGGTGAGATGAGAGGAAAGCAATCCTTTGCTAAAGCTATATATGGCTCTCTCTTAACTCTAGAATGTCTGATAAATTAAACTGAGCAAATTCACTTCAGCTACTTGCCTGATGGCAGGCTGTAAGTCAGAGCTTCTCAGATCTCTATCTGGTCGTAATCTTGCTTGAAATCAAGTGTAGCTTTCATGATCTCTAAATTAAAGCAGCACAAGCTAAATCACGGATTACAAGTATTGGCAGTGACATCCAGCAATGAGTAAAGCCAGAGCATTCCCCTGTGTAGGGATGTGATAGCCCATGTGAAGGCATTCAATTTCAAAAGGTGAGAAACCAGAGACCTTGGCATACTAGGTTGAAATGGTGAGGCAGAAAGGTGGTCCAGCAGTCTTAAAAAGGGGGGAAATGGGCATATTAATGAATCTGACAGGTCTTGTTTAAATACTTTTTTTTCTGGGTAGAATAATGTTGAATTCCAATAGTGAAGGCCTGCTACTAGTGATGACAAGTCCCCAGGCTTCAGGATAAATAATGCTGGAGGGGAGGTATCAATGACCGAGCAGGAGGCCCAGACTGTTTCCAGAATTTTGCAAAGGTGACAGTAGGACTTTGTGTCTTGCCCACAAAGTTTCTAATGGCTGATGGGAAAGCGAATCCCAGCAAAATCATGTTCTTAGGGAGTGGTTTGCTTATAAAACAGGCAGGCAAATATTTGAAGAATGGAAGATGCTGTCAGTCAAAACCAAGGCTTATGTTCTTGCCTGCTTTGTGAGTCAGTTTCTTAGTTTTGTTTATCTGTAGTGACTTGCTTAGTTCATTGTGGTAAAGTTTTCCTAGATCACTAGTGAAGGTTTTGTCATGTTGAAAATACTTCCCTGATTCTGAACCATCAATGCAATAGCAATTCTGTTCCATGTTTTTAGTGTTTCAGGTTCCCAGGACTCTTGCTTCTGAGATGCGTTTTAGTAATTGCTTGCAACTCAGGCTTGTGGTAATACTTCCATATAATAAATCTTTCCGACTTTGTGTTTCTAGGTCCACTGGCCTTCTTTCCTCAGTGGAAGCTGAAACATTATGACGTTATTGTAGGTGTTTTGTCAGCTCGACACAATCATGAACTGCGCAGTGTTATAAGGAACACTTGGTTCAAGCACCTGAAACAACATCCTGCACTGAGCCAACGGTAATCTCTAGTGTTTTGTAATTTGGGGTGTTGGTGGGGGGAAGACTATAATGCTTAAATATCTTGATTTAACAGTGATTTTTAAAAAATATTTATTTTTATTTTCCTTTATTTGTGATTGTTTTGTACTCTGATTTTTTTTAAAACTGCTTAGTAGTATATAAGAACGCTTTTTCTGGCCTGTAACTATTTTTATGCAAAAAATAAAATGTAGTTGCTTGACTTCATTGCTGTTTGTTTTTGCAATTAGTCACAACTGTTCATTAGTGATGTATAAGACTTTCCCTTTTTTGTGTTGCAATGTACGACTTCATATGGTGTGTAACTTGCACTGCTTAGTAATCCAGAATACTTGAATGCAGACAAGATTGCATTTGGTGAGAGAACCACAAAAAACCTCCCACAGCAGCCTGTACTGTAAAGTTCAGGTTTATTTCCCACTGAACCAGCAGAACCTTTCCTGATTGCTTCCATAGACCTGACAGTCTATAGACGGCTCTGTTCTTGCTGAGAAAGTTCTGCTGCTGTTCATTCCTGGAGATGTTATCACCTTGATAGGCCTCACGTCTTGGTACCTGTCTTGCACGGAATGCCATTTACTGTTCAGAAATTTGGTGCCAGCATGCAGTTTGCAGTGATGTAGCCTTCGATCATCTAAAAATATGACGTTTCATAGCTTATATGGAGCTCCAGGAGGATATTTAGCTGCTAGGTGAAAAACTAGATGAAGGTGAATCCTCTTGCTCTTCGTACAGCTTGTTGTCTCCTGACTGTGGCGCAGCCATGACTGGGGCTGGAAGGAACAACCTATTGTTTTGCTACAACCCAAGATTGAGACACTTCATTGTAATGGATAGTCCTTTGTTGCAATGTGATTGGGGGTTTTGAGGTGTGGGGTTGGTTTTTTTTATTGTCTCATGAATGCAGAATATTTAAACAGTCTTGAATTAAGTAACAAAGCCAGATAGGGAAAGGCACGTCTTCAGGAAAATTCAGTCTTGGGTTAAGTCCCTTTCTGTTTAGCGTGCTGGCCATCTTGAATCCCGTTCCTATTTGCCAGTCTCCCTGCATCCTCATTATGAAATGTAAAAGCAAATGTGGATTGGAATTGAGCCCCTGCAAGGGGATTCATGTGGTTGCTCTGCATACAGACTCTCATTGCTGTTTTTCAGAGGGTTCAAAAATCTTAATCCTGTGAAAGACAGGTCATTGTGATGAAGTAAGTTAATTGAAGGTGGAGGGAGGAGGGAAGAGAACTGGTGTTAATAAAACCGAATTATTTTAGTGTCCTTGTGAAGTTTATAATAGGTGCGCATGGTTGTACTGTGCCAGTGGAGGACAGAGAAGACCCCTACTCCTGCAAACTTCTGAACATCAGTAACCCAGGTATAGAAGTTAACTTTTAAAAACTCTATGATATGGACTAGAACTAATCATCTATTCCAAGTCATTTGTTGTGTTTAACTGAGACCGCAAGTCTTGAAAATAAATGCCACCTAGAGCTTGCTGTTTTAACAGTTGCATAATCTTCCTGTAAGTACTATGTGCTGGCATGAAAGGGAGAGGTCTTTGGGGGTGTGAAGGGGAGGGCCGTTGACTTCTAATGGATTTGGATTTTCCTTACATTGGGGAATAGTCTCTCCCCTATAACATACTTTTTTACTCAATCCCTGTGTAAAATGAGGTTGGAAAGAGCCACAATGACCCAGTCTAGTGTCAGTGAAGGAAGGAGCATGACGCCAGTCTCAGATGTCAGATGGACTTGTCTGGTGATAAAGTGAATTCCGAGCAAGTGTGTCTGACAGGTTTTTCAGGTTCCGCTCTACAGAGAGAACAATTAAGAAATATACCATGGGGAAAAATGTAATGCTGCCATAAAAAAATTCCTACCTAAAATTATGAATTCTTTCTGTCACTTCTTTTTCTGTTTAATTTTTACTCTTTAATTGCAAGTTAACTAAGTACTGCTAGGCACTTAAGCCAATGAGTCACTGTAAAATGAAACTTCTGTTACTTTCTCCTTGAATGGCAACATCCACTGCTTAACCAGTCTCCCAAGAATAAATGATACCTCAGAGTTTAGGGAGGCAATAGTGCCAAAAAGCAGGCAGCTGACTTAAGTGGAGATGTATGCCATTTTGATACATGAGTAATTATTTTAATATGCTAATATACACGTATTCATGCAGTCAAATAGCATTTTTGTCGTCACTTCTGAGGATTTATTGTGTTTCTAGTCTTTTCCCTGTGGATATGTAGACATTGACTTGCAGTTGCTGCCTGCCTGCAGATTGCTGCATCATTGAGTTTCTTCTGGCTGCAGTTTGCAGGCAGTTGTATTTTCTTCTCCTACAGCGTTTGATTATCCTTGTGCATTTGTGAGCCATGCTAATTAATCAGAATGCTCTGCATGTATCCAGCACGCTTTGTGTTTATCCAGTTCGAGAACTATGAAGTCTTCTCACATCACCTCTGCCCTTTCTTTTTCATATAGTTTTAAATCAGGAAATTGAAGCATTCAGTCTCCCTGAGGATGTGCCTTCTGTGCTATCTGAAGACAAAATTGTCAGTGTGAACTTTCGTGTACTTTACCCCATTGTCATTACCAGTCTTGGGGTGTTCTATGAGGCTGATGGGGTGGGATTCCAGAGGAACATCACTGTAAAACTGTACCAGGCAGAGCATGAGGTAGAGTATTGTAATTATCTTTTGAAAGTGGACTAAAGCATGTTGTCTCTATATTGTGGATTTGGTTCTTACAGAAAGCAATACGCTGTGTTGATGACTTAGTACTTAATTGATAAGTATAGGAATTATGTTTTTCTTCTATTGCATTATAAATTATTATTTCACAAATATATAAACACACACACAACCCAGACAAGGAAAAGGTGAAATTAAAAGAGCTATGAGTTAATTTAACTGCCCTTTTGAAAGAGGACTTACATCTAATTCTGAGACACAGTTTTGATTGCGTTTGAGGTTCTAAAATATTGATAGGTATTAAGGAATAAAAACTAAACTACTGAATATATTTAAAGCACGTGCAGAAGGACACATTTGGTGCCTTCAAGCAAAGAGATACAGGACGGCTGGAATATTTTTTTGTCTTCTGGCAAGACATTTTGAGATTTTCTAGAAACTAGTATTATTTACAGATATTATTTACAGGTAATAATCAACCTTCATTGATAATTCCCCCTACTCCTGAGGTATTATGGATTTGAGAGATTAGCATAGTGTTGACCTGGAGGAAGAAAGTCATTGAGCATGATTGTTGCATTGGTATATTGCATTTATTTGACAGGCCAATTTCAAGATTTCTGGCTATGCTACAGTAGAAAGAACTTTAAATTTATGATAATAATTAAAATTAAGTACAGAAGGTGTACTGAAGTATGGCTTTTATGAGGAACTTCCAAAGAATTGGTTTTGTAATAATAAAAAAAAAAAAATTGTACTGTAATCAGGTTTATAGTTTCTAACTGGTAGAATTCGAAACATTGAGAACCTAATAACTTGATCTGCATTAGCTTTTTACTTCCAGGGAAGGAGAAATATTAGTATTGTAGAAGTGCTTGGAGACTGCGTTTTGAAGATTGGGAATCCGACAATGCCGTATCTTTATGCCATTTGTTATCACCTAAGAGCCATTTGGTGGCCTATATAATGTATATATAGTTTTAGAGGTCAGCATAGTCTGTTGCAATTGATAGTAGTCAGCTATTTAAACAGAAGATAGAAAGCCTGCAAACCGGGAGATGAGTCTGAGCCTTCCAGGTGATGTGCTCTGACTGGGTTCTAGTAGAACTTGCAGGCTTGTTCCATTCTGTGAAGTCAGAGACTGTTGTGGGAATAAAACTCCACTAAGTTTTATGCAATCAGTAAGAGTCTTTCCGTTGTAACTAACTGAGATGATCAAGATTTGCATAATCTCACAGCGCTTTTGATGTGTATTTTGTGATGGTTTCTTTTAATTTTTTGTTTGTTGTTACAGGAAGCTCTCTTCAGTGCTCGCTTTAGCCCACCAAGCTGTGGAGTGCAAGTGAACAGGTTGTGGTACAAGCCAGTAGAGCAGTTCATTTTGCCAGAGGTACGTGCAATATCAGAGCTGCCTGCAGTTCTCAGTCTCTCCAGCTGACTTAAAAACTGTCCTTTGCTTGAGGCAGAAGAGGGTAAGTGAAAACGTCTAGAATGTCACTTGAGAGGATATGCTGAAATCCAGAGTTTCTTTTTCACCATCTCGTTATCACCAGTAATTATAAAGCAGAAGCTTGAAAACCACAAATTGATCATAACATTATGTTTCTGAAATTGCTACTAATTGTCAACCTTTTCAGTTTCTCAGTGGAAATTATGCTTGCTCCAGTTCTGTGGGAGAGTTTACTGGAGAACGGGACACTTCCTTCTCCCTCCTACTTTTTCTGACATTAGTACACAAGACTGAGAGGGAAAGATGGCACAGATTTCTAGGGAATAGCTGGAAAAGTTGCTTCTGATGTCTTGGACATAACAGATACTGTGTGTTAGGTTTGCAGTGATAATATTACTTGAATAGTTATAATCAAGAAACTTTTGCAGAGGGCTACTGAAATTTTGGTTATTCCTTTTCTGGCAGCTCTAGCGAGGAATTTTTTGGTGATTGAACAATGCAAGGAAACAAAGAGTTAGAGCTTCATGAAGATCTTTAGTAGGGTGTATCTGTAATACACTAGATGGAGTATGTGGTGCACAGAAGACTGACTGACATTTGGGTTTTTAAAACCTGTCCACATCCTAAGGCAGAAGTGATTTATTTTGTCCTGGTATTTTTTTTGTTGTTTTTAATGGGTGCTCATCAGAAATTTGGGAGAAGACTGCATTTTGGACAGTAATGAGTGTTAGTGTTCTTGCTTGTCCCAGGGTACCATAATCTAAGCTAATAAGGTAGGGTCTAATTTTTTTTTTTTTCCAGTCCTCTTGGAGATTGGGTGTGCAGTCCAAGAGTAACGTTTTCAGGTATAAAGAACCTACTTGTGACTGCTTAGAAAGGAAGAAGATGATTAAACACAGAAGGAACAGAATGTAGGTAGGAAAGCACCTGATACTGTTGCAGTGAAGGCTTAGTAAATACGAGTTGACACAGAGTGAGAGTTCTAGTTCAGTAGACTCTCCCAGGTACAAGGAATTGTCCTGGATTTTAGGTTGTTTTCTTTCATTTAAATATTCTCCTGTGTGATTGGACCTTTACTGCTATTTCTGTAAATTGTCTTTGGGTTTTGGTTGTTTTGTTATGCAAGAAATTAAGTATTTTATGAAAGAATGGAGCAAGACAAGGCAGAAGCGGGGAGGAGAGGATCTTTGTGGCCAGTTTAATCTGTTTTATTCCCTTGGCTTTATAAGAATGAATGCATTTGGAAACCCCCTTCTAAGGGGAATCTGCAGCAAATTAATTGGTTTATCATCTTAAACAGGTTTTGCTGAATACTGTCCCAGTTTGTTATGCCAGCAGGAGACTTTTCAGTTGAGCAGAACTCTTGCAGTATTTTGCCGATCTAATTTGATATCAATAATTCAGGGTTTTTTACTTTTTAAAAAAGAGCATTGGTTAGCCAGTAATTTGGTAGTATAGCATATAAGTCTTTTCCCTGTAAGACTTTATTCTGAGCTACTAGAATTGTAGGCAGTTGTAATTTTGCTATAAATGATTGCATTTTTCCTGAGAGGCAGATGGGAAGTGTTTCATTTAGAAAGGGAATATTAGTATTCATATATTTCTTTGTGTGGGCTTCCTTAATCTGATACGTGTCATGCGCTGAACACTTACAGGATAACATGATGTTTCTAATGTAGATTAATAGGGCTTATGCACAGCATGTAGTCTCCTGTGATACTTAGGATGCTGAACCACACAGGATGATTCAGAGGAGATAAAATGCCCACGTATTCCTGTCTACTTGAGAGCGGTAAATTTGGTAAGCTGTTTAATTGTCACAAGGTGGTTTCTGAGACAGTACCTATTCTCTGCCTCTCCACCTTTGAGAAGTAATGGATTGCACAGATTGCTGAAGAGCTTCATCCATCTTCTCGCTGAAGTGCTGCTCTTTCTGCTCGTCCTGGGGAAAGGGAGGGAAATGCAGCATTAGAACAAGCATCTGGCAAGCCAGATTGTCAAAGACAGAATCGATCATTCAGCTTTAGAATGATGCAAAGCACAGAGGAGCGGGACCACCAGCAGATAACTAAAAGTCACACTGAGGCACTTGCAGTTGAGTCATAGCAATGCACTTATTTTGTCAAAAAGCCCCAGGCCACTTGTGTGAAAATGGGTCTCTGTACTGTGCATACTCGATATTACTAATGGGGAGTAGTCGGAGAAACAAAAAGCACAGCACTGTTTAACATTAGGAGAGGAGTTTGGCAGGGCTGCATTATGTCAGTACACCTGTTCGATATTCACTGTAAATGCCACTGCGCTCTGGCAGCAACAGGGCTGGAATTTGAATGGGAAAAAATGAATGATGTAGTCTCAGGTGTGCTGCTGATGCTTTGCTCTAAGCATTTTCAGGCCTCAGCTTTCATTAAGTGGCTTAGAGTAAGAATAGCTGAAGGTTGGAGTTATTAGAAAATTTGCTTACAACTCTGTCAACCTGGAAAATAATGATAGTTTGCAGCTTTAGGACACCTCGTGCTGAAGTTTGCTGGTAATAACTGATTAACACTCTTGGTGTGTGTTTGAAGTCAGTATCAGTAATAGTTAGCGGTGAGAATTTTAATGTTTCTGGTTGCTGAGGAGTGAGAGGACTCTGGTACTCACTAAACAACTTACCAAAGGCTGTGACTGTAAACATGGCATAGAAGGGACATTAGAGTGCAGTGCCTACAGCAAAAAAAAAACATTGGAATGAGAGATGATAGCCACTGCAAATAGAGAAATTGAACACATGCATTGCTGTGTAGGGTATTCAGGAGTCCTGCCGCTAGAAAAAAAAGACTTAGTAGTGGTCCCTTTGTTTTGATAACTGACAGGTAATTAAACAAACAAGGGGAAGGTATTGAGCATACAAGTCAGGCTTGCATAAGCACTGACTAGCTCCATTATTAGATTATAAAGCTGGCATTATAAATAATAGATGGGAGACTTCTGAAATAAGCAGCTGTCGTTAAATACTGAGATTACTGCAGATGTTAAGACCTACTTCTAGAGGAAAGCAAAGAATAGAGTTGAACTCTAAGCTAGACTTTATCGTGTGCTCCAGAAACTATTGTTGCTGACACAAAGAAGCTAAAAGGGGGAAGACCTGAGAGGTTAGTACAAGTAAACAGATTTTCTACAGCAACAGATAGGCTTCTATAAGTAGTTAAACAAGTTGTTTCCCTTTTCCAAGGTCTACACTAGCTACCAGTGTCATTCCTGTGAAACTAGGTGAAACAGAAGAGAATGCCCTTATCTAGTAGTCAGGAGTACTGTAACCCTACAACTACTCCATGCTACCTTGTCATAAAGCTGAAATTCCTTTAAAAAAAATGAAAAAAATACACTACTGCCAGTATTATAGAGGTAATGTTACCCCTAAACCATACCATTTGTCCCTTTGCATGTTCTCAGGGGTCTTTAGGGAAGTCTTACGTAAATTGGGTGAGAGTTGGACTGTTAAGTGGATTAGTTTCAAGTGGAGATGCGAAGATTTTAAATGTAAGAATTTATACACGCACACACACACACACATATTTCAGTGTGTGTATGTTTGTGTCTGTATATATATATGTAAAAAACTCATGGCGTGATGTGATATAAATTGACAATTAAAGCCAGAAAATTTTAAAGATACTCACTTGACTGTCTCCTCCTTTCTGTACAAGCCAAGATGTGAGGTCAGAGTTCTGTGACTCTTCTTCAGTTGCTTGTGACAGGTTTGCCAGGGTGAAGGTGTCTGTGTTTTCCTTGGAGTTTGCTGATGTCAGGATTGAGTCTCTGATGTCGGATTTTGGCAGATAACTAAAAAGCAGCACTTATTTGCAAATCTGTTTTAATGTGTTCTTTTCATAATACAGGATTTTATAGTTGATTTTTAAAAATTCACCTCAGGTCACTGTTAAATGCAATCTTAATGGGGTTAGAAAGCCAAAGTCTTTTACACCAGAGTTCTGTTAGAAGTTTAATGTTCCTAATATAGAGATTCATGATTAGTCTTAAAATCATGATTATGTGTTACTGTGTTTTGCAGATGTATTTCTTTTATGTGTAACTTATTTTTATTGAAGTGTTAGTAAAAAACATCTATGTTGTGCAGTCAAGCTACATATTACATAATTTAAAAGAAGAAAAACAACAACCAACAAACTGTTTAATTTTCATCCTTTGAAGTCCTTGAATACCTGCATAATTGCATTTTGCTCTCTTACCAGAGTTTCGAAGGTACTATTGTGTGGGAAAGCCAGGATTTTCAGGGTCTTGTTTCAAGAAACCTTCATAAAGTGACGGTGAATGATGGAGGGGGTGTTTTCAGAGTCATTACAGTGAGTCACCTCACCTTCCCTTCCACCATGTTTCTGTTTATCCTCTAAATCTTGGATATTTAGCATTTTGCTTCCCTGCATTTCTCTGTAAATCGTAACTCAGTTGGGCTGCTTCTGTTGTCTCAGAGGGGAAGTTTGCTTTGCCTGGGAAAAGACAGGGACATGAAAAACATTACACTAGTAAGTAGCATTTTATTTTATTTTGAAGGGAGGTAAGTTCATTTATTTTCTTAGGTGTGAAGCAGTGTCAATATATCAGAGATGGCAAAATGTCAGTTAAAAATCTAGTGCTAAAATCCCAGTTGATGAGATTAAGCCTGTTTGGTTTTTGGTAGCATGTCTCTTTTCCTGCCAAAATGTTTCTTGCTTAAACTTGCTGTGCTGTTGTAATTTAGCCAGAATAACTTTACATTTTGCTCTTAGCTTTGAAACTACTTTTAGAAAAGTTTTAATGGTATCGCTAGTTTTAGGTGAAACTTCAAAAAACGGCACAAAACAATAAAAAATCTTAGCCTTACATTACGCAGATACCTAAATCAGGAGAGCTTTAAAGTAATTTAATTCTCAGTTGCTGGAAAGCCTCACACCTTGCAATTTTAGGGAAAAACACATCAGTAATGAGAGATGAACTAACTTATTTCTTTCCGTTCTCTGTCTCTAGCAGGCAGGGGAAGGGTTGCTCCCACATGAACTCACAGAAGGAGTAGAGGGAATAGCAGGTGGTTTTATCTACACCATTCAAGGTAAGTTTGCACAACATAGCATCACGTTTGATGCTATTATAAAACAGGAACTTGAAATTATATTTCTGAGACAAAATTTACACTATCTCTGAACTTGATCACCTTGAGGTTTTGTTTTGTGGTTGTTTTGGGTTTTTTTAGTAGAAACCGTTTTCTGGTTTTTTATGCTTAACATCAATGTCCTGATGTGGTTTCTTTGCTTGCCCTTTGTCAGCCAGTCCAATTGACTTGCACCCTTTTGTCTTTTTTATTAACTGAAAGAGGACATAACCAGCTGGATAGATGATGGCAGTGCGGTGGATGTGGTTTATCTGGATTTCAGTAAAGCATTTGACGCTGTTTTGCACAGCATTCCCACAGCTAAACTGAGGAAGCGTGGTCTAGATGATCAGGTAGCGAGGTGGATGGTGAACTGGTTGAAGGGAACAAGCCAGAGAGTTGTGGTCAATGGGGCAGAG